CCATATTTTATTGCAGCACTATTTACAATAGCCAAGAAATGGAAGCAACCTAAGTGTCCATCAGTAGATGAATGGATAAAGAAGAGGTAGTACATATACAGAAATGAATACTATTCAATCATAAGAAAGAAACAAATCCTACCATTTGCAACAACATGGATGAAACTGGAGGACATTATGCTCAGTGAAATAAGCCAGTCCGAGAAAGACAAGTTCCAACTGATTTCCCTCATTTGTGGAGTATAACAACGAAGCAAAACTGAAGGAACAAAATAGCAGCAGACTCACAGACTCCAAGAAGGGAATAGTGGTTACCAAGAGAGGGAGGGATAGGGGAGGGCAGATGCGCAGGGAGGGAGAAGGAGATTGAGGAGTATTATGTTTAGTACACATGATGTGGGGGATCACGGGGAAAACTGTGTAGCACAGAGAAGGCAAATAGTCAATCTGTGGCATCTTATTACACTGATGGACAGTGACTGCATTGGGGTATGGGTGGGGACTTCATAATCTGGGTAAATGTAGTAACCACATTGTTTTTTCATGTGAAACCTTCATAAGAGTGTATATCAATAATACCTTAATAAAAAAAAAACATTATACATACCTTTGTAGACCCCTGTATACTTCACTCCAATCCCATTTCTCTATGACCCTTCTTAGAAATAATCACTGTCTCTACTTTGGTGTTCATTATTCCCATGCATGATTTTATATTATTTATATACATGTTTTTTAAACTTTATATACGTGGTATTAGAATCTAAATATCCTTTGATATGTTATTGCGGCATGGCATTCCACTGAAGAATATATTATTTTCACTTTTGTTATTACATTTAGTCTTCTCTGCTTCCCCTGGCTTCTGTTCTCATGCCCCAACCAGCTTTCAGTTCCATACAGGTTCTTAGCATATTTTCTGATCTTTTAAACAGATTGGGAAATATCCTGGCCCTTTCAGCAACACATTTATAAATTATCTTTCAGCTTAGTATAACTCTTCATATAATTTCATTATTTACTAATTCTTACTAGATTTATACCCAAATTCTTGGCACACTCAACTGCAGCTCCCTGCTTTACTATAAAATATCCTTCTAGGTGTATAATCCTGTGACCCAGTTTATAAAGGCAATAGTCTTCATTTTGAAAACCCAAGTCAACATTTTTCTTTCATCAGCTCTCAAAGATAAGCTACCTAAGTGGAAGCTTTCTGCACTGTCATTGATCGGATGTTTGTGTCCCTCTGCTAAATTCGTATGTTGAAGCTCTGCCCCGAGTGTGACTGTATTTGTAGATAGGGCCTTTCAGGAAGTAATTAAGGTGAAATTAGGTCATAAGGTTAGGGCCCTGATCTGACATTAATATCCTTATAAGAAGAGATACCAAGAGAGCTCCTGGCTCTGTCATTTACCATTGAGGACAGAGTGAGGAGGTGGCCATCTGCAAACCAGCAAGAGCCCGTAACAAAACCTGACCATGCTGGCACTTTGATCTTGTACTTCTACTCCAGAACTGTGAGAAAATACACCTCTGTTGTGTTAGCTACCTAGTCTATGGAATTTTGTAATAGTGGTCTGAACAGACAAATACACTAATATCAAGAACTGACCACAGAGTATACTGAAAAAGTATAGTCCTCAAGGGGTGGGGAAGACTGGGTTCTGCTCTGAACTTGGGCACTCTGATTCTAGGGTATGACAACCCTTTGAAGATTCCATTTTCTCTCTATGAAATGAGAGGCTTTAAGTGGAACTTCTTCAGATCTCTTATAATTTCCAAATTAAAAAGGTTAAATCACATATTGTGGGCTATGACCCAGGCAATTACAGCACCAGGGTTCCAGCCTCAAGAAGTAATTATGGATATTCACAAAGATTTAGTAACAAGCATGTTCATAATAGAATTGCATTCAATGGCAAAAAATAGAATACCTGTAAATAATCTATCCAACAATGTTAAATTACAATACAACCAGACAAAAGTGTAGGTGGATTTTTTTTCAAACCTGTAAAAACTGCTTTTGTTAACATTAAGGATATAGTGTTGAGAATCTGGTGGGCAAAAACTTTGTTAGAAATACCATCAGTAAACATTCTACTCTTGTAAAAATCTGAGCCATGAAAATCATTTTTTAAAAAGTTTCTGTGAACTGCTTTATTGAGGTACAGTTGACATACACTACAATATTTAAAGCACATCATTTGTTAGGTTTTGATATACATATATACCCACAAAATTATCCCAACAATGATGAAAATGAACATAACCATCACTTTCCAAAGTTTCCTGGCACCCCTTTTAGTCCCTCCCTCCCACCTCTCCGTGCTCCTAGCCACCCTCCCTCAGTGACCACTGGTTTGCTTTTGTCATCATAGTCTTCATTTTCTAGTTTTACAATAAATGAAATCATACTATACATACTATTATTTGCCTGGCTCTTATCACTCAGAATAACTGAGTTTCATCTATATTGTTGCATGTACTTACAGTTCATTCATTTTCATTTCTGAGTGCTATTCCACTGCATGAGTCACTTTTACTTTAATTCCAACCCTGGTGCTTCAGGTAAGAGATTACAGAAACATTTCACATTTATCTTATTTTGCCATTTCCAAGGAATTAGCATACTGAGTCTACTTACGCCAGCCCTGATAACTGCTTAACATACAGCTGGCACTGCTTTGAGTCTTTTAAAGCACTGCTTTTAAATTTTACCTAAACTTCATCCTGCTGCAAGTTAATGTTTTGGGAGGAATAATTTTCCTCTATCCCTCAAGATTCTTCTAGCTGGTCTAAGAATCAAACTGATGTGAGCACCACTCTCGCTCCACCGGACTCTACAGATAGATTCCAGGAAGCTGACATGGTAAGAAATTTTACCTTCTGCCAGCTATATGTCAGTCAGATGTCCCAGGATATCAAAATTGCAGACTTTTCAGAGCAAACTGCCAGCAGAAATTTATCCTGATAACTATGACATCTGTTGGGGAAGAAGAATTTTCCTCTATGCTTCGAGATTCTTCTAGTTGGTCTAAGAATCAAACAGGCATGAGACATTAATAGGAGGAAAAAAGTTTATAATTACACTTGTAGAGAGGCCCAATAATGAAATTGAGACCTAAAGAAACGACCGAGGCAGACAGTTTTTATACATTTTAGATAGACAATAAATCTGTGAAAAACTGATAGGACCAAGAAGTCTGGAAGCTTCAATTAGTAAGGAATTCTAAACAGCATTCAGGCTGAGGTAGTGAATAGTAAAAAATAATAGTAACAAAGTTTGTTTATGCACCCTTTTGGGCTCTAAACTCCATCTCTGATGTGGACAGATAAGAGTCAGAGCACCCTTCCTGCACCAGGTGTTTCTCCAGTTGCTATAATGCTGAGTAATTAAAATGTCCCCCAATTTGGGGACAGCCCGCCCTTGGTCACTGCATCAATTAATTTTGCAGGACTTGTAGTGTGTTCCTGGTGCAAAACAGTAAAGAGTGTATGACCCCATTTCTGTTTTTAAAATACAAATACTTGGAAAGACAACTTAGGAAGTTATATCTTAAGAATTGATTATATCTACCAAATACAGAAACATTTTTTTTTAAAGTTAAAGGGCAATTGGATAAAAAGAAAAAAGGTGGTAAGCTTTTACATGAGCAATACTTTTTAGGCTGCCAAAGGAACAGGCAAACCCTGCCATTATTATTGTATAATAGCTTAATTCATAAATCCACAGGTGTTAACCTAGAATGGGCAGTAAAACTTCTTAGAAAGTCATCCTTCACGTCTCTGGAAATATAACATAAATGTAAGGTTACAAATCTAATTTCATAAACACAAATGGGATTTTAAAACTTTTAGAGTTAAAGCAGATCCCAATAGCATCATCTAAGTTTCTGGCCTTGTAATTTAGTCTTTTAATTATATATCTGTATAAAGCTTAGCAGTTTATTTTTATTATTTATTATTTACAAAGCTCCCTTCCACCCAGTAATCACAACATGCATTACAGCACTATTGCAAAGAAGGACCAAATACTCAAAACATTTTTGGCATTCAGTGCTTATTAATCTTACCCCTTTTCTATTCTTTGGAAGAAAGCCTGTATTTAGTTCACTTAAGATACTTGTTCACATACTAATTATCACTTAATGATAACACACTGATTTTCCTTACAGCAAAATGTAATTTTAATACCCTAAGCGAGCCCCCAAACATCATCCTTGTAATTACAATCTAAAAAAGCAATTCATTTCCTTCCAATGCTACCCACAGATGGTCAACAACATATATAGATAGAATTTTTTGAAACTCCTTTTGTGGTAAAGAAGTTTAAAGCTCAACAAGGATGTTACCAACCTCATGTGCTTCTCTTGTTACTTATTAAAGTTACAAATTAGTAGGAAAATAGTACCGCCCAAAGGCTTTCCGACTCAATCTGGGGAGTATAACCAGAGCAAGCGTAAATGAGCGAAACGGCACGAATGCGCCCCAGCCAGGCTGGCGAATGGCAGGTACGCAGTGTTAGCTGGCCCTGAAGACAAATACTCAATTGGTGAATTAAACCTAAGCCCTGGAAGAAGAGCGCCCTACTTCAGACTCAGCCAACCCGCAACCCAAGGAGAAAAATCCGCTTCCACCCCAACACCACTCGCAGAAAAAGATGACAGAAAACCTACCCCCTGCTGGGGCGACTTTGACCTGACCCCCGTGACCCGTTTCCTTCCTCTTCACCCTTCCCCTGCCGCCTTTCTCGAGAGTCCCTCCCCTGGACGCAATGAAAGCGCCACGTCTCCTAGCTCAGGTCCGCCAGCCACCCCGCGGAGGTTTCCTCCAGTTATCCCCTCCCACCCTTCTGTCCAGAGTCGCGCGTCCCCAGGCGCGTCCACTAGGCCCCGACGGGTCACCGCCAAACGCAACCGCAGCGCCCTAGACCCAACCGCTGCCAAGGAGCCCGGTCCCGCCCTCACCCACGTGACTCCCACGTCCCGCCCGCCGGGACCCATGTGACCCGCGGTAGTTCCCCGCGCGCGGCGTGGGTCGCGGCCGAAGCCGCCATTGTTCCACTGAGGGACGGCAGCGGGGCCTGGCACTGGCGCCGAGACGCCGCTTAGCGGCCGCCGCAGGGGACGCTCCCTCCCGTCGTCCCCCCCTCCCGGCGGTGGCGGAGTAAGGCTGACTAGGGGGAGCTGGGAGCCCCCTCTCCTCCTGGTGGCGGCAGCTGCCGATCCCCGGCTCTGGCGCGAGAGGCGGCTGCGATGCGCTCGGCCTGAGGCGGACCGGACCGGCCCTTCCGTGCTTCCCTCGACTATTCCTCGGCGTCTGTGCGCCTCAGCGTCCTGCGAGTCTATCTGACGGGAAGGAAGATGGCTGCACGGAGCTGGCAGGACGAGCTGGCCCAGCAGGCCGAGGAGAGCTCGGCCCGGCTTCGGGAAATGCTCTCAGTCGGCCTCGGTTTTCTGCGCACCGAGCTGGGCCTCGACTTGGGGCTGGAGCCGAGGCGGTACCCGGGCTGGGTGATCCTGGTGGGCACGGGCGCGCTCGGGCTGCTGCTGCTCTTCCTGCTCGGCTACGGCTGGGCCGCGGCTTGCGCCGGCGCCCGCAAGAAACGGCGGAGCCCGCCGCGCAAGCGGGAGGAGGCGGCGGCTGCGCCGGCCCCGGCCTCCGACGACCTAGTCCTGTTGAAGAACCTCAGGAGCGAGGACCAGAAGAAGAAGAACCGGAAGAAATTGCCGGAGAAGCCCAGAGTGAGTAGGGGGGCAGCGGCGGTAGAGTAGGGGCGAGGGGCCGACATGGAGACGTCCGAGCGGGCGGGAGGCCGAGCCCAGCCGGGAATGGAAAAGCGAGTGAGGTTAGTCGAGGGCCGGGACGCAGATCTCTCCCTTGTGGCGGAGGTGATCCCTGGACGTGTTACTTGGGGAATGATGGAAACTCAGGAAGTATAGGACGAGTGGGAAAGACCATTTTCCAGGATGGAAGGTAGACGGGCTGGGGTATGTTTTAAATTAGAGTGCCCTGAGGTGAAGCCAATTTTGGGACCCTTGACCGCCGGAATAACGTACCAACCCTCCTCGAGGCCTACTGGGTTGGGTAATGGGACATTCAGGTGGTGCTGGGAAGTTGTGGGAAGACTACGCCTGGAAGACAGATGTCTAGTTCAAGTCGTATTGAGATGGTAGCCAATGGAGTAAAATATAGTGACCTAAAAACTCTGGGGCTTAAGGAGGATTCAGGGTACCCACGTCTAGACGCGCTTCCATTTTAGTTGGGACTGTTAAAGGGAAATGGTTGCCCATTCTTACTCTTCTGAGTGTGGCCAATGGAGGCTGGAACAGGAGCAAGGCCGAGAGGGAATCGGTTGCCTGATATACTTTGGGGTACATGACTCTATGAGAGAGAGCTGAAGCAAGTTCAGCGAAGAGGTGTGGGAGGTTTCGAAATACACTAAAAGGGGATGACAGAGCAGAATGGTGCAGGCTGAGAGAGAAATTCAGGCACCCATTTACCGAACCACGTGTGGAAATGCAGAAAGCATCACATCCGTTTTATCATGCTTTCGTGTTTTATTTCTACGTTATTGTTTTCCCATGGTTCTCCCAGTATGTCTTTTATAGTTTTAGTTATTTTTTTGAAATACTTCACAGTTGAGCAAACAGTATGCAGGGTGTGCAGAATTAGAAACAACTCCTAACCTATTTTTATATCCTGTGAATTAAGCTCTTCACCTTTTCAGGTGAACAATGAATAAACGTAATAACCACAGCCCTACTATGTGAAATGTGCTATCGTGTTTGGTGAGCAGTGGGAGGATAACACATACGAGTTAAACTCAGTCATGGACACTAGTGTAAGAGATTCGTATATTCTAATATTACACAGACTGATTGGTGCTATAGATGTGTGAGCAGTGTTAATGAGATTTAGAGGGTGGGAGACTAATTGTGTTGGAGGGATTTAGGAAAGTTATTGGGAGTGGGATTTGAGTTCAAACTAATGTATTGAGAATATTGTTGGTAACAGTACAAAGAATAATGCTTTATTAAAACTGAGACAGTACATTATGAGGCCTAGATAAGTATTCACTTTTTGCCTGTAGATTGAGGATCTAAGATGTGTATAATACCCGAAAAGGGTACAATGTTGTCAATATGAATCCAACCTTAAAGGAGAAGAGAAAATAGAACTGATTTGGAACATATGTAACTATATTTAAATTTGTAGAGAGCATCAGAAATTACCAAAAAGTAATGCTGTGGTGGGAATACAGAACCTGGCTCCAAGATAAGGAAAGAAGGTGATTTTGAAAAAAACAAATACACTTACAAACCTAAGCCCTGTATGGATGAAGCAGGTTGTGAAAATTTCAAAGCCCTGTTTGAAACATCTAGAATTTCAGATATACTTGAGTCTAGAGACAAGTGCTCCAAGAGCCCATCTAAGTACATCATAACACTCAGGTGACCCGTCTGAAGAAGAAACATAGACTACTGTGAAACTTGTACTTTGAAAAAATGTCCATCCAACTTCACACTTATCCCTTTTCCTTTTCACCAAGTAAATAAAAGAAGGGGGAAATGAACAACTGAATCTACTATTCACTCTGGAGAGTAAAGAATGGGAAGACTAACCAAATAGTTGAATGTTAATTGGGTAAGAAATATCTTTAGCTCCCCAATGGTAAAGATGTTTTCGAGAAATTGATCATTTACAAATTATGGCTTTCAAACTTTTTTGACTGCAACCTACAGTAAGAAATACATTTTGTATTACAGTGCACCCACACACATACACACGAAGCTATTCTGTTTGTTTTTCTTCGGTGATATTTGTGACCCACTAAATTGGATTTACATATGATTGTGAGGCATGAATCACAGTTAGAAAAACTTCATAGAGCCAAGAGGTATAAGTTACTGTTTATTTAGTACTCATGTTTTGCTCTGTCAAGTGTTTACTTGGAGAAAAGCAGGATACTGCTTGCAAATTAAAGACAGTAACAAGTAATATTTCCGAGTCTCACTGTACAGGGGATACAAAAGTAAAAGCTTAGTTTTACCCTAGGGAGCTTTTTTTTTCCAGTTGTGGAAAAAGATATAGTCAGAAAATTAACAATGCAACCCCAATGTGGGCCCAGGTGCCATGAAAGACATTATCACAGAATTTGGCTTTGAAAATGGGTAGGAGCAGGATAGGCTGAAACTGCAGGGCGCCCAGGGGAGGAAGACTTAAATTAACTCTCAGCCTGACAGGAATGAGAAACTCAACTTGAGTAAGGCACTTAATCTTGCTCTGTTTAGCTCATCTTGTTTGTAATTATAGATCTTAGTTGAGTTAAAACACTGCAGGATTCCTCCAAGTGTTATCCCTAACTACTTGTAATAAAGTTACTTTGAATGCTTGTTAAAATGTGTAGATCCCTGAGCTTCAACGCAGATCTTATAAATTCAAGATCTCTGGACTGAACCCAAAGAATCTGCATTTTTAACACATTGCCCATTCCTGACTGTTAGTTTGAGAATCACTGAAATAGAGCCATGAGATCCGTAATATAAGGTAGATTTTTAAGTGTAGTCATGTTTAATCTCAAATCTATCTCTTCATTACTATATCATTCTGATACACATTTTAGAATGTGTATCACTTATTTTAGAATGTGATCCACTTATTCAAGTGGATTCAGTGATGTAGAATTAAACTAGTTTCTTTGAAAGGACATTTCATATTTGCTTAAATATTTTCATCCTTTTGTTCCATTATTTCAAGTTTTCTCTTAAATCATTCCGAATTTCACAACTTGAATTTTCACAATTTGTTTCTCAATAGCTAGTTTTTATTTGTAGAGTAGGTGGTGGTTAGCTTTTTAAAATCTATTCATAAACATTTTTTGAAATTCTTAGATCAGTTTGGTTTTTAATATCTTAATATCTTGCCGTAGATCTTTAAGGCATGAATTGCAGTTTGATACTCTGTTAAAAGTAAAGGGGTGGTACTTTTCATGGGCTTATTAGTTTTTGGCATTTTTTGAAGTCATTATTCTATGTATTTTCCATGACACCCAGTTAAATGTCTTAAAATAAGCACTCAAAAAATATTTTTCACTTAATCTGAGCAGTAGTTTAATATGGATGTGAGATCTCACATAACCGCTCTCTGACAGTTATTGCTTTGAATTTTAACTGGAAGCACATAACCAGGGTCAACTTCAAAGAATATTCTTTTCAGCAAACAAGTTATATTGTAGAAATTTTCTAGAGGATTTGCCATAATGCAATTGTTGATATCTATAAGCCCAGTGAATATGGGAGTGTAGTGTTTTGTGTTGTTTGCAACTATAACCTTTCAGGGTGCTTAGGACTCAGTAAATAATTACTGAATGCATAATATAGTAAGATATCTCACCTAAGTATTTATTTCTATTCTATATGCAACTTATTTCCACTTTTCATGCCTGGTAAACAGCCATTTGAGCTGCCTTTTTATTTTTACAATGCAAGATGGCTGTGTTTGCCTCATCTGGCTAAAATTGTATAAGTTACATCTTCCTGCAGCCAGTAAATCATTCTTACAGTTTTCAGAGTCTTACATAGTCACTACTTTGGATTCTGGTTTCACTGCCACTGCCCTACTTTAGGACTTTATTGCCTTTTGATTAGATTATGTTGAGAGCATCCTAACTGGTTTTCCTGCTTCCACTTTCTTTGTTACCAATCTTTCACACCTCCTTCATGCCAGTTAAATCTTTAAAAGCCAAGTTCTGATCATGCGACTTTCTTGATCCAATTTTTTTCCAGTTTTTCCATTGCCTGTTGAATAAAATACAGTCTATGCATATAGCTTTCAAGACTTTTCTTGATCTAACCCCATCTTAGATTTATGTCTTACCATTACCCCTAAGACAACGTTAGCTAAACTTCTGTGTCAATTGATTTGTTATTTTCTTCCATTCTAATAGAAATAGTAAGGCCTTTTCTACATCACTACTAATTTCTACTTGTCCTTCAAGGCCCAGCTATGGTGCTCCCTCTATTATAACGCCTTCCCTAGCTCCCCAGCTAGACTTAATCTCTTCTTTTTTATGTTTATTTTATATTTTTTATGAGAGCTAGTCCAAGAAGGGAGAGGTGTCTGGTTAGGTGCCTCTAAGGCAACTTTGATTATTTTGTGTCTGTGGCTCCATGCATGTCCACTAATGATCAGGAAAGCACCTCAAGTAATGGATTTTGGGGTTAGAAATAAATTGTAATGAGTAGGCAGATTCTCCAATATGGAATCCCTAAATAATGGGAACCAACTGAATATTAGTCTGTGTCTGTAACTTGACAATTCATCTCCAGAACTTCATGTCTAGATGTATACTTGATTTCTTCAATTGGAAATCTAACATTTGTCTCAAACTTTACCACCCCCAAAACAACTTATTTCCTGCCCTCTGCTAGTCTCCCCCATTTCTTTAAATGACACTGCCATCCATTCAGTTATTCAAGCCACAAATTTAAGAATCACTTTTGATTCTTCCTCAGCCTTGTATCTTCTTCATCTCATATCTAATCCATCAGCAAGTACCATCAGTTTCATATCCAAAATATGTATCAATCTGACCACTCTCATTCTGTTGTCACTTTAGCTCACTTTGTACAACAGTAGCTTCTGTTGACTGCCTCACTCCTTTCTCAACACTCTAGTAAGGAGTCTTTTAAAAAATAAATCACCATCTTTTCTAAAATCCACACTGAAGTATCTTTTGCAT